CTGGATGGCCCCACAGGACATTCCCTTGCCTTCCCTGTTAACATCTTGAGCCATTCCAAGTGTTCTAGAATACTCTATCCATCAGCTCTGGCTGATGCACCTTTTCCCTCCTTTGTTGGGCAAACTGGGACTTATCTTTAGGTCTCAGCATTGGGGCCTGTGACAGTTAATCTTGATTGTCATTTTAGTAGGATTTAGCATTACCATGGGAACAAACCCAAGGGATCATCTGTAAGGGATTTTTACAATGAGGTTAACTGAGGGGGGTGTGACCCATCTTAAATGGGGGCGGCGACATTCCCTAGGCCGGGGTTCCAGGAGCAACTACACTCATTCCTCTCTGCGTCCTGCCTGAGGCCAGCTGCTGTCACAGCTCCCTGCCACGGTGGACTGTGCCCGCAAACTGTGGACCAAGTCGAACTCTTCCCTCCGTGCACTGTTTGTGTTTGGTGTTTCATCACAATCAGAAGGCAGCCGGAACAGATCTCCTCCTCCCCTGAATTTTTTTTACTGCAGTGCCATTCTCTCCCTAGAGCCCTAATGTCACTCGGAGGTCACCATGCAGTAGACAAGGGGCCCGGAATGGGTGTGCTAGCTCTAGTCTCTCTAAGCTGTCAAGCTGGTTACATCCGGCTCATACTGAAAGCAACCCCCCCACACACACACACCCCCTCATGAGGAAGCTGAGTAGAGGTTTCATTTCTGGCAATGCACTCTTATCATTATTGGCCATTAAGATTCTGTATTTCATAAGGTGAGAACTGGCCTCATGACTCTTAAGAGATTCATTATTGAATGCCGGTACTCACGAGTCCTAAAGCCCAACTAATCATAGCAATGGAATGGGCTTCTTTGGTCTCATCCTTGGTTAAGCGGACTGGCACCAAGGCCCCACCGGTTAACATTTCAGTTCCTCTTTTTTCTTTCCGTGATTCGTTGCCATCTAGGTCACTGTGTTTCTCCATGCCCCCATCTATTGAACAGAGCCGAGAGGTAAAAGCTTGCATGCACCCTTCTTGTTATCTTCATCTTGTCCCAGTTGATATGTTCGCACGACATGACTGTTATGTCTGTTTGACCTATTTACCCAAGAGCAAAGATGGAAAGCTGCCTGTCCCACAATGCTGAGAGCTCACAGGGAGACAGAACAGAGACCACCAGAGCAAATGTCTGGGAGTCGGTGGCAAAGAGGAAAATGAGGATTTCCCCCAGTGAGGGTCCCTCCATCCCTATGTCTGTCTCTGTTAGTCTCTGGACGGGTTACACAGCTGGGGAAGGGTCTATTCTCTTTCTAACAGCAGTCTTACAGAGTGTCATTTCTGCTCTGGCCTCCTTAGTGAGTACCAGACAGCCAGATCAAGACCTTACTAATCCCTTGTAGGGTTGGCACCCTCCTTTAGGTCACTACAACCCTCCCCCAAGTCTTCATGGGGGGGGGGGAAGAAGAAGGAGATTTCTGAAAGGTAACAGGGAATGTGGTCTGTTCTTAGAACAAAAATCAAAGCAAGTATTTGGCTGAATTGACAGCTCAATTCATTACTCACTGAGGCCTATTTTAGAAGCAGTTCTCAGGTCCCTGGGAGCCTCTGACCTTTGAGTGGTGACTATCGATCTTTGATGCCTGGGCTAAGCTCCTGCCCAGGTCCCCCAGCAGCAGAGGCATTGACTTGACCCAGAACTAACCTGGGAGCAGGGAAACGGTAGGAAGTAAGAGCAAGATGCCAAGTGAACATGCTGCTGATCGATGCGCATGAGTAAGTGCGGACACAACAGGCTCGCAACATCGCAAATTCACCGGCATCAGCCTGGCAGGCAGTTCGCATCTGTGGGCAAGCACCCCCCTCACAGTCACTGCTCATCCCTGCTGCAGGTGGGCTGGAACAATGGCTCAGCCAGTAAAATGTCACAGGCACAGCTGAACAGATCAGAGGAGTCCCCACCACACAGGATTTGTGCCTGACCCCCTTCTGCTCAGAGTGGAGCAGCTCAGAGAAGGAGGTGACTGGGCCTCCCAGATCTCAGCTTAAAAACCAGTCCAGCTGTCTCCTGGAGAAACCACTGAGCTCTCCAGTAGATGCTCTCTAACATTGAGAAGACAGGTAAGTGAGCAGATCGGGCTAGAGTAACGGTCTCCCCAGGGAGAAAAAAAAATTCAACGAGCAAAATTCAAGATGGACAAACAAGCGTGGTGGTACACATCTCAGAGAGGTCTGTGAGGTGGAGGTCAGTCTGGTCTACATAGCAAGTTCCAGGACAGCCAGGACCTCATAATGAAAGCCTGTCTCAAAAAAAAAAAGAAAGAAAGAAAGGAAGGAAGAAAGAAAGAAAGAAAGAAAGAAAGAAAGAAAGAAAGAAAAAAGTAAGTAGGGCCAGGTGTAGTTATTAATGCCTTTAATTCCAGGACTCAGAAGACAGTGGCAGGCAGATCTCTGTAAGACCAGCCTGGTCTACAAATTATATTTCCGGAATGGTCAGGGCTATACAGAGAAACCCTGTCTTGAAAAAAAGAAAAAGAAAGGAGAGATGATATTTTAAAAAACTGTTTCAGCTCCCACACACTTTTTCTGAGATAAGGTCTTAGCCTCTTAGCCCAGGACAGCCTCGAACTTGCCATCTTCCTGACTTGGCTTTCACGATGCTGAGATTATAGGCATGTCCCACAAAGCCTGGCTCTGACGCCCATTTATTGATGAGCAGATATTAATTGCTCACTATACAGAAAACCCCATGCTTGCGCCAGGAATATAAATGGGGGAAAACAGTTATTTTTCTGTGAAAGTTTTCTGCTGCTGACACAAACAAATCACAACTGGGCGGCTTGAAGCCACCATGCAGGAAAACAAAGGTGTCAGTGGGATCGGTTTCTTTGGGAACAGAGGTTCTCGAGCTTCCTAATGCTGTGCCCCTTTAATACAGTTCCTCATGCTGTGGTGAACCCCAACCACGAAATGATTTCCTTGCCACTTCATAACTGTAACTTTGGGACTGTAAAGGATCATAATGTGAATATCTGATGTGCGGGGTATCTGAAATGTAACCCCCACAGGGGGGTCACGACCCACAGGTTGAGAACCATTGTTCTGGAAGCTGAAGGAGAATCGATTCTGTCTCTCTGCAGACTCTCCGTGGCTGACAGCAGTCCTTGGCAGGGACACAACCCTCCAATCCCTGTCTCTACCCTTGTACTTACTGCCAACATACCCTCTTCCTTTTATCTTTGCATTTTAGTATTTAGATGAGGCCCAGGCTGGCCTTAAATTCTTGACCCTCCTGGCTAATAGTCCCGAGTGCTAGAATCACAGGCATGTACCACTGTGACCCTGCCCACCCCCCCACCCCTATTCTTACAAGGACACTAGTCATTGGGTTTGCTTCACCTTAAACCCCTTGTCATCGAATCATGAAGATCCTTCGATGCTCCAATTTGTGGAGACTCTGAGGTTCTGGGTAGATATGAATTTGGAAGGGGGGTTGCTATTTAACACAACCCATGTGGTCAGCCACAGGAAGACTCACCGTGTAAAGCTGCAAGGGAAGAGTGCACCATAGTAAACTGAGACTTAAGTGGTAAGCAGCAACTCAAGAGACAGGAAGTGGACAGCGAGCTCAGGGAGTGTCCACCACACAGATCAGTAAAGTGTGACCCACCTCGGGAGGTGACAACTGAAGAGGAAAAAAGCAGTTCATGAGGTGTTTTATGGAGTTTGGGCTGTGAAAGCCTCTGGATGATTGGAAGCCGAATAATCCGGGAAGTTCACCTTGGCGAAGATGAGTACGGCGGTGAAGTCAGATGCAAGGGGCTTTATCTTCAGAAAAAGCTCCAAGTATTGCAATACATAATACATGAGGCAGAAACTCTGTAAAGATATTCCACACGCTATCCCTAGCAAGTAGATGGAGCCAGGCCCACTGAGCCAAATGTAGTGCTTTACAAAACATAGACAGGATCCATGCTGGCTGGCCATGCCCCTGCATCCAGCTGAATCAACACTGACCCAAGGGGGTATGGGGGACCCAAAGGAGTCTGCAAGCTCTTACACGTATTCTCCACCTAAGCAGAGAAAGGAGCTGGGATTTGAACAAGAGTTTTCTATGATTGGTCTATAAACACTACAGCTGCCTAGCACACACATGCTCCCTTTTATGGTCCATTAGACGTACAAGCCTTAAATGCTAGCTGGCCTTTGTTCACAAATAAATGTGTGTCCTCAGTAGCTCTCAGTCTGCTCATCATAGACCATCCTCTCCATTGAAGACCCAGGCAGGTGCTTCATGTCTTCTACGGACTCCAAAAGCTCCCAATGTGAGCACATGTAAGACTTGATAGTTTGCCTTTCCCTTAACCTGTCTCTCCCCATCTGGAAAGTGAGTAACTGGAGGGCAAGAAATTTTGTCTTGTCCACCTCTAAATTCTCAACTCCTAACATACATAATCTGACCAAATGAATGGATGGATGGGTGAGTGGGTGGGTATATGGACTGGTGGATGATGAATGCATGACAAGTGGATGACTGGTAAATGAATGGATAGATGAATGGCTGGCTGGAGGATGGATGGATGATGGAAAGATGGACAGATGAACAGATGACATATGGATGGATGATAGGTAAATAAGTGTATGGGTGGATATATGGATATATCTTTATGATACTATACTGGCTTCAAATCTAATAAATCAATACAGTAATGAAATCAACACGGATTCATCAACTGACTATTAGAGTGCTTTGTGGGAGCTGGAGAAATGGCTCAGCAGATAAGAGCACTTGTTGCCCTTAAAGGAGATGTGGGTTCAATCACCAGCACTCACATGGTAGCTTATAACCATTTATAATCCCAGTTCCTGAGAGTTCAAGAGGTGCAGTTACATGTTCACATGGGTGCATATACGAACACTCATACATATAAAACAAATCTAAAAAAGAAAAGATTAATTATTTTGCACCCCCAACAAAAACTAGAATGGCACAAAGCGTTGCTTGGTGCTCTCCAGACTCACCTCATTCCTTCAGAAGCCATCTTGTCGAGATTAGTGGTGTCCTTTGTTTCTGCCCAGTTTGCTCCCAGGTCACCCCATCCCATGTCATCAGCCAAGATGATCACAATGTTTGGTTTGGGGGCTCTTGTTTTCCCACTGAGAGAGAAATCCAGGAGAGGGTAGAAAAATCCAGAGAAAGTCATGCCGACCAACAAAACCTTTAGAAAAAGCCAGCCCATGGTGGCACACAAAGACTTGTGTTGTCTCAGTTGAGCGATAATGGGCCACCACCACAGGTTTCCCTAATCCTTTCCTCTTTGTTCACCTCAGAAAGCCACCAAGAAGCATGGGTCCAGCTGGCAAAAATACACTGGTGTTAATGATGGCTACAGGAATGGTAGGAATTACAGAAAAAAAAAAAAGTCCCCATCTAGAATCCTAATCCAAGAGAGTCAGGAAATGTGTCACCCTAGAGTGGATTGGCCCCCTGGAGATGTCATCTCATCACAGTTTAGTAAGAAGAAGTAAGAAGACTGGCTGGGTGCAGCATTCAGATATCCACATCAATATCAATGACCACCCTTTGGCCACTTAGCAAGTCAGTGACCCTCTGCACTCAGGGAGGCTCGGGACAAGCCTTGCATCTGCTTAGCACTCCATCTGGTGATTGCAGGAGAAGTTCTCACATCTGCAGAACACCCGCATGTTCTCAGGAGGCACGGTCAGCCCCAAACGAGTATCTGAGTTCCAGATGAGGTTTCTGTAAGGCTTCCTGAACGAACAAAATTTGACAAGACAACAGCATTGAAACAGCCAGGCCGGTTGTGTTGTAGTCAGTAGCTTGGGAAATAATCACTTTTCCATGCCAACAGATGTTTCCCTTCTTATTTGAATGCTTAACTGGCTCCTTGGTCTCTTCCACCTGAAAAGCAGGGATGACAATAATATTTACAACGGACCTATAGTAACAGGGCTGGCGGTAACATTACTTACAGGTCACACATCCCTGAGTGGGATGAACACCAGCCAGATCCCAGTCTGCTAATCCCCTCGCTGAGTGCTTCCCCATCCCTACCACTGCAAGTGATCAAACTCCTTGAGAATTCGAGAGGAAAATGTAAAGTCTCATCATCAAGACACAACTGTTTATAACGTACATGTTATGACCTAATGTTTCCATAAGAAACTCTCGGCATAAGTTACTCTAGGAGGCTTGGGGAATAGCTCTATTGGCAGAGTGCTTGCCTAGCACACACAAAGCCCTAGGTTTGATCCCCCAACACTTCATAAACCAGGTGTGGTTAGTGTCTGGCTGTAATGCCAGCATTTGTGGGTAAAGTCAGGAGAACCAGATTTTTTTTTTAAATAACTTTTTAATTTAAATTTGAAACAAGCTTGTTTTACATGTCAATCACAGTTTCTGCACCCTCCCATCCTCCCCTGTTCCCCCACCACCACAAACCGGCATCCCATCCCCTTTCTGCTCCCCAGGGATGGTGAGGCCTTCCATGGGGAGTCTTCAAAGTCTGTCATACCATTTGGAGCAGGGCCTAGGCCCTCCTCCATGTGTCTAGGCTGAGGGAGTATTCCTCTGTGTGAAATGAGCTCCCAAAGTCCATTTGTATACTAGGGATGAATACTGATCCACTACCAGAGGCCCCATAGACTGTCCAGTCCTCCTAACTAACATCCACATTCAGGGAGTCTGGGTCACTCCTGTGCTGGTTTCCCAGCTATCAGAGTGGGGTCCATGAGTTCCTCCATGTTAAGGTCAGCAGTTTCTGTGGGTTTCTCCAGACTGGTCTGACCCCTTTGCTCATCACTCCTCCCTCTCTGCAACTGGATTCCAGGAGTTTGGCTCAGTGTTTAGCCTGGGGGTGTCTGCTTCTGCTTCCATCAGTTACTAGATGAAGGCTCTAGGATGGCAGATAAGGTAGTCATCAGTCTCACTATCGGGGAAGGGCATTTAAGGTTGCCTCTCCACTATTGCTTAGATTGTTAGTTGGGATCATCCTGGTATATCTCTGGACATTTCCCTAGTGCCAGATTTCTCTTAAAACCTATAATGGCTCCCTCTATTATGGTATCTCTTTTCTTGCTCTCCTCTATTCTTTCCCTGACTCAATCTGAAGACCAGATTCTTACAGTAATCCTCAGCCAGTCTGAGGCCAGCCTAAGTCACTGCCTCAAAGCAAACAGCTTCCCCCACAGAAATTAACTTACGGAAAAAAAAAAGAACTATGAAAACAAAGTTTATAATAGGCTCTAGGTGGAGAACATGTTTCTGCTCTCCTCAGAATGCATTCAGTTTTTCTGAATGATTGTAATGTTCATAATTAGGCCAGGTGGTAATGGCGCACACCTTTGATCCCCGCACTTGGAAGGCAGAGGCAGACAGATCTCTGTGAATTCCAGGACAGACTCCAAAGCTACATTAGAGAAACTCTGTCTCAAAAAAAAAAAACCCAAAATTATAATGATAATAATGCATATAATGAAATGCTACCAAAAAAGTTACAAAGAATTAATAGAAACATGTCCTTGTATATTCTCATCATGACTTTTTACTGGGAGGGGTAGCTCATTGGTAGAGCGCCGATTTAGCATGCACATGACCCTGATTTCATCCCTATCCATCCCACAGAAAGCAAACAAACAACAAGAACAAAACATTTAACCAATGATTCCCACACCTGGACATGCATACATATTAGCAAACTCAGAGTCGAGGATCTAACTGGGTTGGTGGAGTGCTTGCCTACCATACACACTCGCAAAGTCCTGGGCTCGATCCCCAGCATTTCCATAAACTATGTAGTGAAATGCATCCATGATTCCAGCACTCTGGAGGCAGGGGCTGAAAGAGCTAAAATTCAAGGTTACCCTCTATTACATAGCCAGTTGAGGGCCAGCCTGGGCTCCAAGATATCCATTCTCAAGAGAGAGAGAGAGAAGAAAAAGGAAGGAAGGAGGAAGAAAGGAAGGAAGGTAGGAAGGAAGGAAGGAAGGAAGGAAGGAAGGAAGGAAGGAAGGAAGGAAGGAAGGAAAACCCACTGGGAAAGCTGGGACTGTTTTCTGCTTGTTGCATTGATTTTTCAAAACAAGACCTCTGGTAGCTCAAACTCAGTATGCAGCGGATGACCTTGAATCCCTGGCCCTCCTACTGCTACCTCCCTCGAGCTGGGATTACAGGTGTGAGCCATCGCTTCTGGCTTTGAGATATGAATTTGAGCAAGCTCCCAGGTGAGACCTACACCACGTGTCCTCGGTTCACTCTTAGAATAGCAAGATGTTGGAGAATAAAAATATCATGACTCTGGGCCTAGAAGAAAAAAGGAACTGCGTGGCCTAACTGGAGATGACTCAGCTCCGGTGGACAAAGCCGAAAGCAATGTATCAGACAAAGTTCTGAAGCAAACGGAGCTGAGAACAAACTCAAATCATTCTTTCTTTACTTAAAGGCTCTAAATCTGAAAGGTGTCACAGTGCTGAATAACAGCAGCCTTCCACCCGTGGGAGCCAGCAAGGGACCAATCTGCAAAATGTAAAAATGCTACAGACTGGGGCTATTTCACATGCTATTTCTAAATAAATAAATAATATGGGAGGGGGGGGGTGCCAAGACGGGGTTTCTCTGTGTAGCTCTGGCTGTCTTGAAACTCCCTCTGTAGACCAGGCTAGGTTCTTTAACTCACAGAGATCCACCTGCCTCTGTCTCTGGAGTCCTGGGTGTGCCACCACTGCCTGGTCAAAATAATAATAATAATAATAATAATAATAATAATTAGGTTACGTATCTTTGTGAGCAAGGCATGGTGGTGTGTCTCTTCAATCCCAGCACTTGGGAGGCAGAAGCAAGTAGATCTCTATGAGTTTGAGGCCAGCCTGGTCTCTGTAGCAAATTCTAGGCCAGCCAGGGCTGCATAGGGAGACCCCCCCCCTCAAAACGAAAAACAAACAAACAAAAAAAACTAATTACATGTTTTTGTGCATGTGTATGTGCACAAGCCGTGGCACTCACACGTGGAAGTCAGAAGATAACTTGCTAGATTCCATTCTCTCCTTCCCAAGTGAGGTGCCAGGGATCAAACTCAAGGTAGGCTTGGTGGCAAGCCCCTTTACCCACTGGGCATCTCCATAGCTAGGCATTCCAACCAGCTTAGCATTGTTAGCTTCAGGAGATGGGAGTGATTGGAGTAATAAATGCTAGAAGATCTTGATAAAAGCAAAAGAAATGCAAAGCCAACCTAAGTCTAAGGGAACAGGGGAGGCTCATCTGGAGGCTCCGTGAGCCAACAGTTTGGAAAGGCAAACCCTTACACTTCCCAAAAGGAGTCCTTTTATTTTCACACTTGACTAGATTCAAGTGGCATTCCCTGATCTTGAGGTCCCAGAGACTTCTCCCTTTCTGGAAGGCAGGTGCTTAACAAACACTTGTTCACCTGCTGGTTAATTCCCAGCCTCCTTCTACCGGGAGCAGCCACGAGAGGCTTTTCTTCTTAAAGCTGCTTAGCTTAGGGCACTAGTGTGGCCTCATTTCTGGTCAATAATCCAACTCAGGATGACCTGACCATACAAGAATTCCAGGGTGTGGGGGAGCTTGTTGAAGAAGGAAGAGAAAATTAAAGTGGAAATCTAACTAGATTGGCTTCCCCTGGAGTTCCAGGACAAGGCATTCCTTTGAGGATTTGTAAAAGGAAGCTTTGAACACTCCACTTCAAATTTTCTTAGATGGAAATGAGCTCATCCAGCCAGCAGACTACCACAGATTTCTTCTCCACATCCATATTGTCAAGGGGATGTTTAAGCCCTTTCTGCTTATGTATTTACTTTCTTTAACTGAAGGGAAGAGACAAACTATACGGTCAAAGGTTGGACTTGACCCACGGGTTTTAGTGAAGAGTCATGCTGAGACTCTGAACTTCTCTGTCCTAAACAAAGTGGCCCCTGGTACTGTCTGGGGGCATCATCCTGTGTCACGTACCCAACTCTGACTTTATGAATCTCGCTCAGGAAAGAGGACTAGGGATACAGCCAAAGTGGTTGAGATAGCTCAGTTGGTAAAGTACTTGCTAAGAAAGTGTGAGCACATGAGTTCCAGCCCCCAGAACCCACATAAAGACTGGTGCGGTGGTCCAGGATTCTCCTCCCAACGGCACTCGACCCTTGAGGCTTTCTGGCCAGGCAGCCTAACCAAATTAGCAAGTTCCAGGTCAATGAAAGACATGTCTCATAAAACAAGGTGGGAAGTGGCCAGTGGAAAGACATCTGAGGTTGGCGTCTGGTCTTGACACGCACACGCACCCATGGATAGACACACATC